CTCCACCGACGACGGCAGGACGTGGCAGACCGATGCGGACCGCGTGCGGGTCGAGGGCGTCGACGGGGCCGACGGCCGACTGGCGATCGGCACCGAGGACTGGTTCGTCGATCCGGAGCACCCCGACGACATCTACATGGCGTTCCAGTACTTCCACTACCGTGCCACGTCCGGCACGCTGCTGGCCCGGTCGCCGGACTCCGGCCGGAGCTACCGGGTTCGTGAGCTGGATCGTTCCGCCGGCGCCCGAGGCCGATCCGGCCGGCCGGGCGACGTTCGAGCCGGCGATCGAGTACGTCGGCGACCGCACGATCGTGGCCGTGCTGCGCGACGCGGCCCGGCGCGAACGCGGGGACCCGGGCTGCACGTGGCAGGCGGTCAGCACCGACATGGGCGCGTCATTCTCCGCGCCGGTGGACATCAGCGACCGGATCGACGGCGGCGTTCCCGGCGGGCTCTGGCAGCGCGCACGTCTCTACCAGGAGAGCAACCCGAGCTTCCAATGCGGGAACCGACTCGACTTCGCCGCGGGCGAGGGGAGGCTGTGGGGCTTCGGTCTCCACAGCATCGGCGGCGGTTATACGCGCAAGCCGGTCGTCTACCACTCGCATGACCACGGCCGTTCCTGGCGCGGACCCGAGCTGCTGCACGGGCCCATGCGTCCGGGCACCGACACCGGCTACGGCGATCTCAAGCGCCGCGTCGACGGCACGTTCGTGGCCGCCACCTACTACGCGAACCGGGACTCCACGGTCGCGGACGTCGAGCAGTACACCTTCGGCGGCGAACGCGCTCAGGTGATGGTGGAGGCGGACCGGGACGGCGACGGCATGCCGAACCTGGACTCCGGCTGGCGCGAGCTCCACGACGGGGAGAACTTGGTAACGGTGTCGGGGCTGCCGGCCGAGCGCTGGCGGCTGCGGCTGGCGCTGAGCGCCACGGAGACCTCGGGGTGGCCGTCGGTCCGCCGCTTCACGGTCACCCCGAGTTAGTCACATGGCAGACCACCCGACCGGCATCGACCGTAACCTCACCACTTACGGCGATCCCACCTTCAGCCGCTTCATCCGCCGCGCCTTCCTGGCCTCGCAGGGGTTCGACGGCACGGACCTGGAGCGCCCGGTCGTGGGCATCGCCGACACCTCCAGCGACTACAACACCTGCCACGCCCACATGCCGGCGCTGGTGGACGCGGTGAAGCGCGGCGTCCTGCAGGCCGGCGGGCTTCCGCTGGTGTTCCCGACGATCTCCCTCGAACGAGATCCTGTTCTCGCCCACGACCATGTTCTACCGGAATCTGCTGGCCATGGAGACCGAGGAGATGATCCGGGCGCAGCCGATGGATGCCGTGGTGCTGCTGGGCGGCTGCGACAAGACGGTGCCAGCGCAGCTCATGGCGGCGGCCTCCGCGAACGTGCCGGCCGTGGTGTGCGTGACCGGCGCCATGCGCACCGGCACGTGGCGGGGCGAGCGGGTCGGCGCCTGTACCGACTGCCGCCGTTACTACGCGGGCTTTCGCGAGGGGAGGATAGGCGAGGAGGAGCTCCGCCAGGTGCAGCAGCAACTGTGCTCCACGCCCGGCACCTGCATGGTGATGGGCTCCGCCTCCACCATCGCCTGCGTCGCGGAGACGGTCGGGCTGATGCTCCCCGGCGGCGCCTCGCCCACCTCCGGAAGCGCGGACCGGCTGCGCAACGCGGTCGCCACCGGCCGGCGGGCGGCGCTGCTGGCGCGCGAGCCGATCACGCCCGACCGGATCCTCACCAGGGAGGCGTTCGAGAACGCGCTCAGCGTGCTGATCGCGCTGGGCGCTCGACCAACACGATCATCCATCTGACGGCCATCGCGCGGCGGGCCAGGGCGTCGAGCTGTCCATGGCCGATCGCAGGCGCGCCTCCGAGCAGGTGCCGCTGCTGGTGGACTGCAAGCCCTCCGGCACGCGCTACATGGAGGACTTCCACGAGCCGGCGGACTGCCCGCCGTGCTGAAGGCGCTGGAGCCGCTGCTGCACCCCGATCCGATCGACGTCGAGGGGCGCACGCTGCGGGAACGGCTGGCGGACGTGGCGCCGCCGGGCCGTGGCAGTCGGTGATCCGCACGCTGCACGAGCCGCATCGGCAGCGCACCGGGCGCTCACCGTGCTGCGCGTCGCGCGCGAGCGCCCCGCGACGGGGCGATCATCAAGAGCGCGGCGGCCAGCCCGGAGCTCTCCGAGCACGAGGGCCCGGCCGTGGTGTTCGACTCGCCGGCCGACGTGGCGGACCGAATCGACGATCCGGGCCTGCAGTCGCGCAAACACTGTGCACTTTGTGCTGGTGCTGCGCAACGCCGGCCCGGTGGCGGCCGGCATGCCGGAGGCAGCTCCCTGCCCATCCCCCGCAAGCTCTCCGAGCAGTCAAGGACATGGTGCGCGTGTCGGACGCCCGCATGAGCGGCACCGCGTACGGCACGGTCGTCCTGCACTGCGCGCCCGAGGCGGCGGTAGGCGGTCCGCTGGCGCTGGTGCGCGACGGCGACCCGATCCGGCTCTCGGTGTCGCGCGGCACGATCGATCTGCAGGTGGCGCCGGCCGAGCTCGAGCGGCGCCGCCGGGAGTGGCGGCCGTGGCCGCTGCCGGAGCGCGGCTGGGCGCGCCATCGCCACGTCTGCTGTCGCCGACCGGGAGCGCCGTGCCTCGACCTGATGGTGGCGGAGCGGGACGCGGCCGGCGAACGCGGATAGACTGCGGCACCGCCATGCCCAACATAGCCCTGATCGGCGCCGGCAGCGTCGTCTTCGCCCAGAAGCTCATCAGCGACATCCTGCAGCGCGACGGCATCGGCACGCCCGAGTTCCGGCTGATGGACATCGACCCCGAGCGCCTGCGCATCGCCGGCATCGCCGCCGAGAAGACCGCCCGCGCGCTGGGCAAGCCGGCCACGATCCGCACCACCGTGGATCAGCGGCGAGGCGATCCGGGACGCCAACTACGTGATCTGCTGCGTGCAGGTCGGCGACACGGAGACGATCTATCAGGACTTCGACATCCCCGCCCGCTACGGGCTGCGCCAGACCATCGCCGACACGCTGGGCATCGGCGGCATCTTCCGCGCGCTGCGCACCTATCCGGTGATGATGGACCTGGTCGAGAACATCACCACGGTCGGCGCGCCGCGCTGCCTGCTGCTCAAACTACACAACCGATGGCGAGACATGCTGGTCGTGCTTGCGCGCCGCCGACATCCCCGCGGTGGGCCTGTGCCACAGCGTGCAGGGCACGGCCGCCAAGCTCGCCGGCATCGCCGGCGTCGCCGAGGAAGAGGTGCGCTTCCGCTGCGCGGGCATCAACCACATGGCGTTCTACACCGAGTTCCGCGTCGGCGACCGCGACCTCTACCCGGTGCTGTTCGAGCGCCTGCGCGACGATCCGGACGGACTGGGCCGCACCGTGCGGTTCGAGATGCTCAGGCGTACCGGCTACTTCGTGACCGAAAGCTCCGAGCACCAGGCCGAGTACACGCCGTACTTCATCCACCACGGCGAGGGGACCATCGACCGATACCGCGTGCCGCTGAACGAGCTGATTCGCCGCCGCGACGTCCAGGTGCGAGTGGGAACAGCAGCAGCGCGAGTTCTCCGACCCCGACCACGCGGTGGACACCAAGCCGCTGAGCCACGAGTACGGGTCGATCATCATCGAGGCGATCGAGACCGGCGTGCCGGCCACCATCCACGGCAACGTGCTGAACCACGGGCTGATCGACAACCTGCCGGCCGACGCCTGCGTGGAGGTGGCCTGCCACGTGGACGGCACCGGCCTGGCGCCGGTGGCGTTCGGCCGCCTGCCGACCGTGCTGGCCGGGATCATCGGCAGCAACATCGCCGTGCAGCTCGCCACCGTGGAGGCGGCCGAGTCACGCCGGCGGGAGGCGGTCTATCACGCCGCCATGCTCGACCCGCACACCGCCGCCAGCCTCACCCTGGACCAGATCTGGCAGGTCTGCGACGAGATGCTGGAGGCGCAGGCGCCCCTGCTGCCGGCCTTCGACACGGCATAGTGGACCAACAGGGACGTTCGAGCGGCGGCTGCATGCGCTGGCAGGCCGCTATCGCACGCAATGCCTGTGGGATCTCAAGCTGCGACCTGGATCTCGCATCAAGCGGACGTCGCGACGCTGGTGCTGCGGCGCCGGATCGCAGTCAAATTGCGCGGACCATACCAGCGGCTATGTCGAGGCGCGGGGACTGCTGGATTGGCTCTCACGGACTTCCAACGCGCGATCTGCCGTCTCGTAGCCGAGCAAACGGCACGCGAAAGCCGCGTAAGAGTGGCAGCGTGGCGCTCAAACCTGCTGCTGGACAGCGGGCGATGGGCGGGTCTCCCGGGACATCGGACGTGGTTTCACGATATGCCGAAGCGGCGGTCCACGCCTCGTTCGATGCCGATCGGCGGCTCCTGGAGCTGCAATGGACTTACACGTTCGCAGACGGTTGCGGGGCGTGCCTCCGGGCTCATGCGAGGCGTATTACGACAGCGCCATCGACGAGTGTGCGCATGGAAGCGGCTGCGCTGACAGCGGGCGTTCCGTTCTTCCGCTCTGGAGCACAGCATGAGATCTGGACTCACGCTGCCCCGTTCGACCTGGCGTCGACAAGGTCCTGGCGCTGGTCGGCAGGCTCGAGGTCCGCGACTGGGTCGACGCGATCAGCTCCCACGAGCGGCTGCAGCCGCTTGGGTACCTGCTGTGGGCGCCTGCGGCAGGACCCTGGCGTTCGTCCCAGGCTCGCTGCTCGATACATGCGCGCCGCACGACGACTACTTTCGCGCGGAGATCGCCGCCACTGGCGTGCGTTCGAGGGCAACCAGTCCGCCCGACGCCCATGCGGGCGGTGACGCGTGGGCGCGCTGAGACCAGCGGCGGCCGCGATCATCGGGCCGAGCGCCGCCGGCGAAGCAGGCCGGGACCTGCGTGCTCGATGCACGCGCCCGCCTGTTTCGCGGCGCTCCGTCCACGCTCAAGCGAGCGCTGGCGCAGGCGGACATCCGCTTCCATGAAGGGTCGCTCGGCGGTGCGTTGCCGCGTCTGCTGAACTGAGCAGCCGGGAAGGCTACGCGCCGGGGACGCTGCCCTGCACGCCGGGACGGAGCCCGAGGCGCCGCACCTCCTCCCATCGGCCCGGCGCCAAGCCGTCGGCGAACGCCGTGCCGCAGGGGCCGCCGCCGCGCGTCGGCGAACTCGTACTCGCGCCCGTCGAAGCGCAGCGCCGGGCGGTAGTGCAGGGACATCTCCCGGAAGCTCGCCGGCACGTAGTGGCAGATGAAGCTCCGCCGCCACTCGCCGGCGGACGCGTTCGGCCGCGAGCCGTGCACGATGCTGCCGCCGAAGAACAGCACGTCCCCCGGAGCAAGCTCGACCGGCACCGGCGTGATCCCGGCGGGAGGCCGTACGAAGTGCGTGGTGAAGCTCTCCTCCGGGTCGGCCACCTCCGGCACGCCACCTCCATCGTGTGCGTGCCGGGACAGACGTACAGGCCGCCGTTCTCGGGGACGGAGCGGTCCACCGCGGTCCAGGCCGCGATGCAGGTATACGGCCGCACGCGCAGGTAGTAGTTGTCCTGGTGCAGCGCCTGGCCCTTCGAGCCGGGCGGCTTGAAGTAGAACATCGACTGCGCCGCGATCGGCTGCTCCTCCATCAGCGCCGCCAGCACCGCCTCGATACGCGGGTTCAGCAGCATCCGCAGCGCCAGCGCGTCGAGCCGGTGCGGGTGCATGATGCGCGGGCAGCGCATGAGCGGATCGTCGCTGTCCGGGTCGGGGTCCCAGTGCCCGGGGATCGGCGTGCCGTCCGCGGTGATGGCCGCGAACCGTTCCGCGCAGGCGGCGATCTCGTCGGGTTCCCACAGCTCGCGCACCACCAGGAAGCCGTCGGCCTGCCATCGGGCCAGATCGCGCGTGCTCACGGGTGCTGCCGTGGTCATGGCTCGCGTACTCTCGCACGGCGGCACGCGGCGTCCAAGGAGCTGGTCGAAGTGTCGGGTATGATGCCGCCGACTTCGGCCCGCACCGCTCGCCGGGACTTGAGCCGGGAGACGCCCACACGTGGAACACCTCGAAGAGATCGAGCGGCTGTGGTCCAGCGCGGACAACCTGCGGGCCAACTCCAACTTCGCCAGCAACGAGTACTTCCTGCCCGTCATGGGGCTGATCTTCCTGCGCCACGCCTACAGCCGCTTCCTCAAGGTCAAGGCCGCGATCGAGCCCTCGCTGCCGACGCGCGGCGGCAGGCCACGCGCACTCACCAAGGAGGACTTCTCCCGGAAGGGCGCGATCTTCCTGCATCCGGAAGCGCAGTTCGACCATCTCGTCTCCCTGCCTGACAGCGCTGATCGCGCGCAGGTGATGATCGATGCGATGGAGAAGATCGAGACAGGACTACGAGACCCTGCGCGGCGCCCTGCCCAAGGCCGAGTACCAGGAGCTCGACAACGACGTGCTCGGCCAGCTTCTGCGCACCTTCAACGACCCGGCCCTGAGGCGCGCGGACGGCGACGTGTTCGGGCGCATCTACGAGTACTTCCTCACCCAGTTCGCCGACCAGAAGGCGCATGACGGCGGCGAGTTCTTCACGCCGGTCGCGCTGGTCCAGACCATCGTCAACGTCATCGAGCCGGACCACGGCCGCGTGCTCGACCCGGCCTGCGGCTCGGGCGGGATGTTCGTGCAGAGCGCGCACTTCATCGAACGCATGCACCTCGACCCGACCGAACGGGCGACGTTCTTCGGCATGGAGAAGAACCCGACGACGATCCGCCTCGCCAACATGAACCTCGCCGTGCACGGCCTCGAGGGCAACATCCACAAGGCCATCACCTACTACGAGGATCCCGCACGAGCTGCTCGGCAAGTGCGACTTCGTCATGGCCAATCCGCCGTTCAACGTCGACGAGGTGGACGCGGAGAAGGTGAAGAACGACCCGCGCCTGCCCTATGCCCTTCCTGGGTGAACAAGAAGGGCAAGGTCTCCAACGGCAACTACCTCTGGATCTCCTACTTCGACAGCTACCTGAACAACGCCGGCCGGGCCGGGTTCGTCATGTCCTCGCAGGCGTCGTCGGCGGGCGGCGAGGAAGCGAAGGTGCGCCGGAAGTTGATCGAGGCGGGCCACCTGGACGTGATGATGGCGATCCGCTCCGGTCTTCTTCTACACGCGCACGGTGCCGTGCGAGCTGTGGTTCCTCGACAAGGCCAAGCCCGCCGAGCGGCGGGAGAAGGTGTTGATGATCGACGCGCGCAACGTCCACCGGAAGGTGACGCGCAAGATCTACGACTTCACGCCCGAGCAGCAGAAGAACCTTGCGGCCATCGTCTGGCTCTATCGGGGCCAGAACGAACGCTTCCTCGCCTCGTCGCCGAGCACCTCGAACGCATGGTCGAAGCAGCCGGCGAAGCCGCGCCGCCGGTCCGGCGCCTTGCCGCCGCGCTTGCCGAGGCCGCCACGACGTGTGCCGATGGCGAACTTTCGACGACCTCGAACCGAGCCTCACGGAGTTCGAGAACGCGCGGGAGGCGTTCGCGCACGACCTGGACGCCTTCGAGTCCGGAGCGGGCGATATCCGCGATGCATGGGACTCGTCCCGCCGCGACAACGCCGGGCTCACGGCGTTCGCCGCACGCGCCCAGCCTTTGGCAGAAGCAGGGCACGACCTGATCCGCCAGGCCGATCATCTCCACAGGCTGCTGTCGCGCGTGGCCGAGGGTCGCAGGAACGGCCGCGGCAGCCCGCTCAAGGCGGTCGGCGAAGCGCGAAGCGACGCGGTGGAGCATCTCACAGCGCCGCGCTACTTCTGGCGGCAGGCGCATTGGCTTCAGGCGCGGTTCCCGGACGCGGCCCTGCGAGACGTCGAAGGGCTCGTGAAGCTGGTCGGCCACGACGAACTGGCCGCCAACGATTGGAGCCTGACGCCGGGGCGCTATGTCGGTGTCGCGCCGGAGGAGGAAGACGAGGATTTCGACTTTGAGCAGACGATGCGGGATATCCACATGGAGCTTGATGAGCTCAACGCCGAGTCGGTACGGCTCGCGGCGACGATCAAGCGCAACTTCGAGGCTCTGGGGCTGTGACGGCGAAGCGGCGCCATAGCACGGGTTCGGAGCGGAAGTCCATGGGGCGCCGGCGCGCGGGTGCGTCGATCCCCGCGCCTCAGGGCAGGGGAGAGGTGCCCGCCGACTACGCGGCCCTGCTCGGTGAGATCAAGGAGCGCATCCGCACCGAACGCGTGCGCGTTGTACTGGCCGCCAACCAGGTGATGGTGCTGCTCTACTGGGACATCGGCAAGGCGATTCTCGCCCGCCAGGAGCGGGAAGGCTGGGGCGCCCGGACCATCGACCGCCTTTCGCACGACCTCCGGGAGGCGTTCCCGGACATGCGGGGATTCTCGCCCCGCAACCTCAAGTACATGCGCGCCTTCGCCGCGGCCTGGCCCGAGCGCGAAATCGTGCAAGAGGTGCTTGCACAAATCCCTGGTCCACAATCGCGTTGCTGGAGCAAGACTGACTCCGGAGACGTCGCTGTGGTACGCCGCCAAGGCACGCGAGGCGGGCTGGAGCCGCAACGTGCTCGCCGTTCAGATCGAGCGCCGGCTGCACGAGCGTGAGGGCAGCGCCGTCACCAACTTCCCGCCGGACGCTGCCGCCGTCCGACTCCGATCTGGCCACGCAGGCGTTCAAGGACCCGTACCTGTTCGACTTCCTCGGCACCGCCGAGCCGCGCACGGAACGGGAGCTCGAGCAGGGTCTCGTGGACCACATCCAGCGCTTCCTGCTGGAGATGGGGGCCGGATTCGCCTTCGTCGGCCGGCAGGTGCTCCTCGAGGTCGGCGACAGCGACTTCCGCGTGGACCTGCTGTTCTACCACCTCCAAGCTCCGCCGCGTACGTCGTAGTCGAGCTCAAGGCGGTGCCGTTCAGCCCCGCCTTCGTCGGCCAGATGAACCTGTACCTCTCCGCCGTGGACGACCTGATGCGCCACCCCGACGACGCGCCCACCATCGGCCTGCTG